TGGTTGTTTTAAGCCACTGAAGTTGTGACAAATTTTTTTTCACCAGAAATAGGAAACTAATACAAGCTGTTTGAAGAGTATGCATATTTTTACCTATATTATTTCTATAAATTTATCCTGAGGAAATCACTGGACAAAACACATTGTGTGTACATGAATATTCACCAGAGCATCAAACAGGAAAATGGCACAGAGCGTACAGGTTTTTCATCACAGTTTTCCAGTCTCAGTGTTATTTACCATGCTCCCTTGCCCCTAATATTTTCTTCGTATTGGTACTTAAATCTAAGTAACAATCAGATTCACATTTGACTTTTTAATGAAATAACCTTGTAGGTGATGTGTTGTTGCATGAAAAGACATATAACATCTTGGTGGAGAGGTCTCTGTAGATAAAATAGTTTATGTGTATCAAGTATTTATGAACAATTCTCAGTTTTGGAAAACTGAATCAAGTTTGTTCAGATTTGCATATATTTAACAAGTAGAAAGTATGGCAGTAATATCATCACAGGAGGATATTTCACATATTTCTTTTACCCTTTGCTTACCTCACCCCGAAAACCATAGGTAGAAATGTTAGCTAAATCCTCAAAGGACTGCAGTTTACTTGTAGTGAACCTCTCACACACAATATCCAGATCTTCTTTCTAGAAGATACCAAAAAAATAAGTAATTGTCACTCATTTTTCCAAATCTTGAATTTGCCTTTTCAATCAAGAGTTTTAAAATTAGCAGTAACTTCCTCACTTAGCATCCAGAGAGCCCCACTGTGCATACGTCCCTTCCCTCGCACTGGTCCCATATCTCAGGCACCTGCTGGTCAGCCTCACCTGCCTTGATGGTGGCATAAGCCAGGGCTCAATCCTTGGACCTCATTACCACCTCCAGTCCCTCTTCTATGATCTCATTCAGTCTCATGGATTTTATAAACATATTATTATTAGAAAATGTCTTTATTAAAAATCTATGGATACACTTGGTTGTAGTAGAGTATGCTAACAAAACTTGACATTTCAATGATTTTTAAGCATACATTTCAGTGGCGCAAAGAACATTCATCATTCATCTTCCCAAACTGAAACTGTATTCATCAAATACTAATTCTGTAGTCTCCCTCCCCCAGCCCCTGGCAACCACAGCTCCACTTTCTGCATCTATAATTCTGACTACTCCATGAATCTCATGAAAGGTGATTCATACAGTATTCACCCTTTTGTCACTGGCTTATTTTATTTAGCATAATGTCTTCAAGATTCAACCACTGTAGCACTGGTCAAAAGTTCACTCCTTTCACAGCCAAGTAGACCTCATCTTATGCATGTAGTACGTTTTTTTCACCCATTCATCTGTTGATACTTGGGTTGCTTCTATCTTTGGCTACGTGAATAACGCTGTTATGAACATAGGGGTACAAACAGCCCGGAGGCCTTGCTTTCAAATTGGGTATACACCCACAAGTGGAATTGCTGGATCATATGGTAATTCTGTTTAGTCACTATACTGTTTTCCACAGTAGCTGCACTATAGATTATAGTTCTAACACCTCTACATCTGTGGGTGAAATTGTAAAATTTCCAGAATATTTCGCCTGGCTTTAGCTCATTTGCATATTCTCAGGGGTGGAGAGAAGTTCATCTCCATGTCAGTGAGTAATTACCTAGGCAACCAAGCAACCAAGCGTGTCTGAACCTGAGAGTTTAAGGGGAGGGGCTTGCTTGCTTGTTTGCTTGCTTTTGTTCCAGAGCGGGGGTGGGGGGTGGGGGGGTACTGCAGTTTGTAAGTAATAAACGGGTTTAAAATTTTTTTCTCCTCCCCAGACTTACAACATCCACCAAGCCAATACTTTTTTTTCAAATGCCATCCAAATGGGTGTCAAGTGGTATCCTGTTACTTTTGTCTGTATTTCTCTAATGACTGGTTATGTTGAACATCTTTTCATGTGAGTTTTTTAGTATCATCAGAATGCAACACACCAAATTTTTTCATCAGCCCAAAACCCTACCCTGCACTCCAGACACACATCTCCAACTAACAGCATCGTAAGTGTAACATACTCCCAAATGAATTTCCCATCTTCCCCCAAACCTCCTTCTCCCATAGTGTTTCCTACCAGTAAATGGCACCCTTCTTTTCTACCTGCAAAGGTCAAAACCATGAAATTATTCTTGACTCCTCTTTTTCTCACACCCTACATTAGCCAATTCTGAGAGCTTTGTCTTTATAATCAACACAGAATCTCACTGCTTCCTACCTTGCCATTGTGACTAAACCAAGGCATTGCTTCCCCTCCCTGGGGTTGCTGCTGGAGTTTCCTCGCTGCATCTGGCCTGTCCTCCTACAGGCTACTTTCTCCATTGCAAAGGAAAGGGTTCTTTTAAAACTCACCAACCATGTCCCCCTCTTTGCTCAAAACCTTCTAACAGTATCCCAGCTTATTCAGAGTAAAAACCAAAGACTTTACAATGCCCCATGAGGTCTTAATGATCAGCCTACTTATCTTTCAGACCTCCTTGCCTGTCACCATCTCCCTCTCCTTGTCCTAGACAAGCTAGCCTCCCTGCTGAACCTTAACCATGTCAGGCATGCTTCTATTTAATCGTCTCTGCATATATTATTGTTCTCTCTGCTTACAACACGTATGCTTTGAACTGCCTCATGACTCTCTCCCTGACCTCTTTACTCCCCTGAACAGTGCCCAGCTTAGAATAGGTACTCAGTCAATATTTACTCTTGGTGTTGGACAGTTCAGTCAAAAGTCACATCCACAAAAGCCCAGAGTTTCCGGAATGGGGCAAGGCTCTGCCACTGCCTGCCAGTGTCTCACCGGAGGTCATACACTACTCCAGAGGCTTTACCTACCCTGATCCCAGTGCCATTGTCTTGGATCTGAATCAACTTCAGGCCTCCCTCTTTAACAACCACTTGAATACTGGTGGATTTTGCATCTAAACTGGCAAAGCAAACAAAGAAATAGTTTATCAGCCTGCAACTTTTTAATGCATGTATTTTAATATGAGCCAAGGGATAAGAAGCAATTCCAGATAAATACAAGGCTCATTAATGTCACTTTCCCTTTGCAGCCTCTGTGTACATTGTTATTAGTTTATACTTTGTGTGAGAGGGGCAAGAGGGGCAGCAGGGGCCAACCATCATTTCCAATAGGAGACACAGCACCATTTTTTGTCACTCTATTGAAGAAAGTAAAGTTAGAAAGAGACCCTTTAGCACATGCCTTTCTCTTGTTTTCTTCTCAACTTATTTTATCATCTGTTACTTCAACTTTATTCAGTCTCAGGTTTCTAAGTGACCTTAATAAATGTCACTAAAAATTTTTCTCAATGTTTTTCTCTACTTCTCCCTTTTAAGAAAATACATTTATGTTGGGAGAAAATAAGAAGGGAATGCAGGACGTCCTTTGAGAAGCCAATAAACCTTTTGTATCCTGCAAGAGTGGCCTATTAGCACAGAGCACCTCCTAGAAAAGGCAAACTTAGCCTGGGGGTACATGAGAAAGAAGTGATGGACTCATCACCCAGAAAATCCTTTATTCAGAAATAAGACAGTAAGTTAAACATTAAAGACCTTTCTCAGATACAAGATCTCTGCTTATAGAGCCAATTATAAGCCATTTCGCTAACACGCTCAATTTGGTACAGTATTCTGGCCCAGCACAATACAAGCCCAAGTTGTTCTGTCAGTTAATCCTGACGTTGTAGAAAAAAAGCCTTTACAAACCAGGTAAAGGGAGGACTTGTACTGGTGTCCTGCTCCTTTTTGTTTACCTTCTAATTCCCTTCCTTTCCCTCGGTGGTCCTTTCCCACCGTTTTTTCAGCCCCACTATCCTGGACGGTTGGTTGTTTTCACAGTAAATCACTTTACAAACCTACCATTCTTCGCGGGGACATTTTTCTCTTTTAACGTTTGTATTATTATCAACTGACTTCAACACACAGGATCTGACATAACATTTAAGTACATGATGGGCCATCTGCCTTTCCTGAGTACACCCACCTCTTTCCTCCACCCTGGTGACAATCCGAAATTTCAAAACCCACAGAATACCTCTTAAAGTTACGTATCTGCGATGTGCTCCCCAAACAGGTAAAGGGTGGGGAGAAACTAAGTTGGGTCAGTAATTTGGGAACGGGGAAACCACAAGTTAAACTCAAACAAAGCCCATCGGCCTGTCCCAACATCCGGCAATTTAGAGCAAAGCTCAATGCGAACCGTTCTCTTGAACGCGCATGGTTGACTTCGGGAATAGCACGGTACCCTCCGACGGGTGAAGGGATTTCCTCCCCACGGAAAACGTCTACACATTTGGGGGATCGCAACCTCTGTAGACAAGACATAAAGCCCCTCCCACCCGACCAGCCCCGCATCAACACCGCGCAGCCCTCTGCTCGCGCCTACAGTCCCACAGAGGTCTCGCGATAGCGCTCAAGAATGCGCGGGACGCCAGCAGGCGGAAGACAGGACCCCGAGGGCCAGCGCTGTGGGCATGCTCCGTACTCGCCTCCTCCCAGGGCTGGAAGCGTGTGTGCGCCATCCTGGAGCAGCCCGTTAAGTCGTGGCCTATTAAAAAAAAGCCCAGCTCGACTCTCTCCGTACCAGTTCTCAATCATCTCCTTGATGGCATTAGCCGGCCGCTGGATAACTTCCCCTGCCGCGATACGGTTCACTACTGTCTCGTCCAGCCGCCGAATAACCCCCGCTACGAACGACATCGTCGCGGCCAGGAAATCCCAAGTAGATTCGAGACGCTCACCGGAAGTATCTTCAGCCAATCACCTGTGTCTCCTGTTTACGTCATTTATCAACTCCGCTTCCGCCAGCCTGCCCCGTTCCCTCAGAGGCGGTGCCCCTTCCAGACCTAGGGAGACATTGATTGGGCAACTTTAGTGCCAGTCAAGCTTCTTGAAGCTGTGGGGCCTTGGGTCTCTCCGTCCCTCCCTGACGCAGCTTCAGCTCGCCAGCTGGGAGGCCGTGCGCCTGCATGCCGGAAGTCACCGTCTGCTCCTCCTATTGGCTCTTTCCTCTGCTACTAGAAATCTGCAGCCAATAGGTAGGCAAGTCGAGGCGGGGGCGGGCTGCGGCGGCGGCGTAGAGCGGAGGCGGTGTTCGCGAGGCGGCTGTTCCAGTGCCCGCGACCGCCGAGGCGTGTGCGTGACGCCCCGCAAGAGCAGGATGGAGGTGGACGAGTCTCGGGTGTTCCGCGCCGAGTGGACCCAGCGGTACCTGGTGGTGGAGTCGCCGGAGGGCGAGGGGGCCCTGTGCCTGGTGTGCCGCCGTCTGGTCGTTGCCACCCGCGAGCGCGATGTCCGGCGCCACTATGAGGCCGAGCACGACTCGTACGAGCGGTACTCGGCCGAGGGCGAGCGCGCCGCCCTGGTGGAGCGCCTACGACGGGGAGAGGCGGCTGTGGCGCCGCCGCCGCCGCCGCCGCCTCTAGGACCCGCGGAGAGGGCGGCCCGGGCCGGCCTGGGGCTGGCCCGCCTGCTGGCGCGGCAGGGGCGCGGCTGGGCGGAGGGCGCCTTCGTGCGGCAGTGCCTGGAGGAGACGCTGCGGGCCGTGCTTCCTGAGCACGCGGGCGTGCTGGACACCATCGATTGGTCTCCGGACGCTGCGCGGCAGCGTGTGCTTAGCATCCACCGCGATCTCCGCGGCCAGCTCTTCACCCGCGCCAAGGCCTTCAAGGCCTACTCCCTGGCCCTGGACGACCAGGCCTTCGTGGCCTACGAGAACTATCTCCTGGTGTTCGTGCGCGGCGTGAGCCAGGACCTGCAGGTGCACGAGGAGCTGCTGACGGTGGTCAACCTGACGCGGCATTTCAGCGTGGGCGCGCTCATGGCTGCAGTGCTCGAGGCGCTGCGCGCGGCGGGGCTCAGCCTGCAGCGCATGGTGGGGCTCAGCACCACGCACACGCTACGCATGGTGGGCGAGAATTCGGGGCTGGTGTCCTACATGCGCGAGAAGGCCGTGAGTCCCAACTGCTGGAACGTCATCCACTACTCGGGGTTCCTGCACCTGGAGCTGCTGAGCTCCTACGACGTGGATGTTAACCAGATCATAAATACAGTATCTGAGTGGATCGTGCTAATTAAGACCCGCGGCGTTCGGCGGCCCGAGTTCCAGGCCTTACTGACGGAGTCCGAGTCGGAGCACGGCGAGAGGGTTAGCGGACGGTGCCTGAACAACTGGCTGAGAAAAGGGAAAACCTTAAAGCTAATCTTCTCCTTGAGGAAAGAGATAGAGGCGTTCTTGGTTTCAATAGGGGCTACGACGGTCCACTTTTCAGACAAGCAGTGGCTTTGTGACTTTGGTTTCTTGGTGGATATTATGGACCACCTTCGAGAGCTCAGCGAGCTGTTGAAAGTTAGCAAAGTCTTTGCTGCTGCTGCCTTTGACCATATTTGCACCTTTGAAGTTAAGCTGAATTTGCTGCAGAGGCATATTGAGGAGAAAAACCTAACACACTTTGCGGCCTTCAGAGAAGTTGTGGATGAGCTTAAACAACATCTTAAAGAAGATCAAAAGATATTTGAGCCTGATAGGTATCAAGTTGTGATCTGTCGCCTCCAAAAAGAGTTTGAGAGACATTTCAAGGACCTGAGGTTCATTAAAAAGGATTTAGAACTCTTTGCAAATCCATTTAACTTTAAACCGGAATATGCACCTATTTCAGTGAGGGTGGAGCTAACAAAACTTCAGGCAAACACTAACCTTTGGAATGACTACAGAATCAAGGACTTGGGGCAATTCTATGCTGGGCTGTCTGCTGAATCTTACCCAATTATCAAGGGGGTTGCCTGTAAGGTGGCATCCTTGTTTGATAGTAGTGAAATCTGTGAAAAGGCTTATTCATATTTGATTCGAAACCAACACACTCTGAGCCAGCCGTTGACAGATGAGCATCTCCACGCCCTGTTTAGGATTGCCACAACTGAAATAGAGCCCCAGTGGGATGATCTTGTGAGAGGAAGAAATGAACCGAATCCGTGAGCCTTTGTAGTACAACATCGAAACACAAGAATCCAATTCTAAAAGCAGAATAATTTTTCGAGCAAACTAACTTGGATTGTGGGAAAACATCAAGTTTATTCACCCAAATTGATCATGATTCAAATTTTTCTGACAAGATTTTTTTTTTCTTAAATCTCAAGAGGAAGAGAGTGAAGCACAGAAACACCTTATTTTAAACTTATAAGGTCATTGTCTTTTGCTTTTATGGTATAATTGTTTTTGAAGAAGTTCAGTACAGATGTGAGTTGATTTAGAAGACTGTTTTTAAGGTGTTTTGAAGAAATTTTAGTTCTCATTTTAACAATGTTAAAAGTTCTGATGCATAGAGTCTGAAACTATCAGCTCCTTAAATGTATGTTTTAGCCACTTTGCAGGACCTCAACATAGCAAGTCCAGAAGTTTTTGAAAAGGAAGACCATACATACAGTGCAGGTATTTTGTCTATCAAAATGTTTGAGACTTAAAAAAAATTTTTCTGAGTCTGAAGTAAATACTGAAAATATTGACAGATTCCTCCCACTCATTCCCCCCCCACCACCTGCCCCAGCAATAAAGGTATTACTAATAGGGGACTTCATCAGATAAAATTTTAGTCAGAGGAGCAAGAATTACTTTTAAATTGCAGGTTTAGGAGGCTTCCTGCAATTTGGTGATCAGACTAACCAATTATTGGAGTTTTCCCCTGAGCTTTTCACAGTGGGGTGCTGTTTTATCAGCTTGCCTGTTAAAGTACTACGGTAAGTATAGAATCTTAACAGTTGCCAATTAGTGTTTCTTTTTTCAACCTTTGACAGAAGTTTGGTTCTGTCAGAAAGGATGAGAAAAAAAGAATTTCGCACTCCGGGATCAGGAGATAATGAGATAGTTTATCTTATTTGTCCTATCTGCTTGGATGTTATGCATTATAAAGAAATACAGCCTAAAGGAAGGCCTTTATTTTAAAGTGAGATAGTATCAGATTTTGTTAGCTGTTGGAAATGGATTTATTATAGAGTTTGAAACTGTCCCACACGTTCTGTACGTAAGAGAGTGCACAAGTAGAAATATGTAACTTAAGAAGCAGCTTTGTCGACAGATTGTAGCAGTTTCTAGTGAGACATCTGCTTTGTGCTCAAACAGTAATTTTCAAACTTATGTCAACCATGAAAAGGAAATCTTACAGTAAAGCCAAATATGTAAGTGTTTTAAAACAGGACCCAGATTAGAGATCATTTCAAGTACAGTTTGGAAATTGGAAACTTGTGCTAAAGTCTTGTCTTGACTATTGTTAACACGTTATTCTGTGGTCATTAATCCTGCAAATTCAAGGAACCTGGATACAACCAAGATTTTTAAGAGGAACTGATGCCTGAGCAAATCAAACTAGATGCCTTAAGAGCCCAAGAACCAAAATTTTGTTAGTGGTTCTCAACCGGAGGTAGTAGACCCTCTTTCCAGAGATGTTGGGAAACATGGATTTTTTTTGGTTGTCATACTTAGTGGGGGGTTCTGTATGAAGGACCCCCCTGCAGTGTGTGTAGGACGGCCTGGCACAATGAATTATCCCTCCCAAAGTGCCAGTAGACCTCCAGTGTAGATTCTCTTATTTTGAGGGACAGGGCAAATTACCGGTAGAAGCAAAATTAGAAGGGCAAGTTGGGCAAACTGACAGTACTTGGTAGGGGAGATTGATTCCAACATTCCAGGTTTGATTGGTAGGATACAGTGGAGGCTTTGATAGGTTCTGTTAGGTAGATACAGTAGCATTTCTAAATCAGTAATTGATACTGGACCAGATTCAAGGACTCTGTTCTGTTGTACATGATTGGGTTAGTGCGAAAAAGCAAGTGTTCTGTATTAACAAGATAGTATCAGGGATGGTCAAGTCAAGTTATTGGTTACTAGGGAGTAAGCTTTAAATATCTGGAAAAATGACAGTGAAAAGCCAACCAGACAGATCTACCGGTAATTTCCCAGTAGTTCGGAGTGTTCTCTGTCATGACAAGCACTTTATTGAAGGGATGATTGGCAGTCCTGAAAGCTGCTCTGCTTTCTAACCCCAGTTTCACAGATACTGAAGTCTTGTACATTTTGTGGAGTAACACTATATATTTTGCTTAAGGTAATAATTAAAGTAGCTTGCATCATATAGTCACTGAATTGGGGTGGGAAGATGTAAGGCGAGGATTTTAAATTGACATTGAATAAGAAATTTGCTCTAAACTAGTCTTGTTTGTAAAAAAGGAGAATGTGTATTTTACTGTTTTCTGTATTAAGTAATTATGTAACTGCATGGCA